CAAATACAGCCACAATGATAACCATCTGTTCTAATATCCATGTGTCTGAGCAGGAGATCTTTAGGAGGGGACTTGCATCACAGCTGAAATGATCAATGGCATTAGAATCACAGAATTCAAGCTGGAGGCCTAAGCTAAGGGGTGGGACAATAATCATCAAGCCAGCTACCCAGCAGGAGAGGACTAATAAGGTGCACACTCTGTTGTTCATAATGGTCATGTAATGAAGAGGTTTACAGATGGCCACATAGCGATCATAGGACATGGCTGCCAGGAGAAAAAATTCTGTTGCTCCAAAGAGAAAAACAAAAAATATCTGAGTTGCACAAGCATTATAGGTAACAGTATTGTCTCCAGTTGATAAACTGTACAGGAATCGAGGGATACAGACAGTAGTAAATGAAACTTCTAGGAAGGAAAAGTTTCTGAGGAAGAAGTACATAGGTGTCTTAAGATGAGGATCCACCAGTGTGAGGGTGATAATAGTCAGGTTCCCTGTTACACTCAACATGTAGGTGAGCAACAGAAAGATGAAAAGCAGAACTTTCAGTTTTGGGTCATCTGTCAGTCCCAGCAGGATGAAAGTGGTTATTGCTGTGTGGTTCCTCATCATAGAACTTTGACCTAAACTTTGTGTAAAAAAAATAAAAAATTTATGAAGAAACAGACATTTAAGTTCTATAGCAAAAGACTGTGCATATAGAAGCCAAGAAAATCAGCCTGTTTATTTTCTTTTTTCACATCATAATTAATGTTTTTACTAATCCAATAGCCTTCCTGAATTATATGTGTATGAGCAGTGGAGATTTCCTTAAGGATTCACATCATGGTAAAACATTCACAATTTTCTTTTATCATTTGTTCCTATAGAATTTACATATGTGGTTTATTTGTCACAAACAAATTATTACATGGACTAGATTTCCAGATGTGTACAGAAAGATGTTATTTCATGGGAGGCTAATAGTTCTTTGTCCAAGCAAACTCTGGATACAGGGCATATCTTGGTAACTAAGAGAATGGATTCTTTTCACTGTTATTATCTGGGGATTGTTTTAAGGATAAGATATATTTCTTCTGAAAAACAAACAAATGATAATGACAACAACAGGATTCCTTATAGTGGAAATTCTAAAACATATGGATGGTTTGATATAAAACTAATTTACATAGTCTGCAAGGAAATGTCCAAGATATTTACAAAAAAGTATTTTCTTATGCATTCATTTGTGATCAGTTATTGATTGGTCCCCCTTTTCTCTCGAAACCTAGAATTTAATTTTTATTTAACATCAATAAATATAGCCTTCTAGGATTTGTCTATTTTTCATGATGCTTTTAATTCCTTTGAAAACACATTAGTGTATCCTCAGCTCATCTTCACTCTGTTGAGGCTTTAAACAGTTATATTGGGACTTTCACTTGCAACTCCCTATAGCTTTCTGACACCCCAATGAGTTTATTTCTGTTAGACAATGACACATTTTAGTTTTTTTATTGGTTGTTCAAAACAACACATTTTAGTTTTTATCTTGCCTGAAATTGCAGCAGCATTAAAAAGCAAAGTTTGGTCATTCTTTAAGTGGTTCCTATATCATCTTCCTGATTTCCCTCCTCGCATTAGATTGCTATTTTTAATGTCTCTCTTTTTTCTATTCACATATGAAATATTGGTCCTCCCCAATACTCTGTTTTCAGACCTCTCACTTCTTATGTTCTGTTTGTTATTCTTCTTTCTCTATACTTTCTACAAATGATTTCATCAATTCATTTGTTTTATCCTTATATGACATACCCAAAATATGAGATCTATTCTCTATAAAAATATTAAACATATGGGTCATTTCTGGGTTGTTCTATGGGTACCAAATCTGAGGATGCTCTAAACATTACAAGTTGTGTATCCACATCTCAATTACCATATGCTCTAAATAATTTACCATATCTTCTTCCAGTGTTAACTAAGTTTTAATATAGAAAAAATTATCTTTTTTTTAACCCTGCAAGGCTCTTATGGAAAGTACCTTCTTTGTTTTTTTAACTTCAACACTTGTCATTTTCTTACCTGTCTTCCTTAGAGCTTGAGTTCCACTAACACTGACTACTTGAAAGTCTTCTTCAGTTCTATATGCTTTCTCCTCTGCACAGGCTAATCTTTTGGTTAATACCTATTAGTCCTTCCACATTCCCCATAGGTATCAGTTCTTTCAGGAAATCTTCATCCATGAACCCAAAGCATGTGAAATTGTGCTCCTGTGGCATTTCCAAGTACGTGTTGTTTATCCAGTCATGGAATACATCACACTGTATTTTGCTGTGCACTGTAATTACATTTCTTCTGTATGTTTTTGTAAATTTATCTAAAGTAGAAACCATGTGGCATACACTATTAAATTTCCTTATATTTTGGCTTATATAATACATTTAGGGACAGAAAAAGCAGCATTGTCTACATACTGGGGAAACTTGTACTCCTTAATACCTATTCTGATCGCTTGATTCAACATTCTTATTTTCATATGTGCTTCAAACTACTCTTTCATTTTGAATACTTTTTAAAACAAAGGCCTAATTATACCCAGTTTTAAGATTCTCCTTTCCCAGGGTTTTCCCAGCCTGTGAACGACTCTGCCTTTACTCTTCATACCTAATTCCCTCTCTGCAGCTGCTGTTTGCTTTCCTGTGTCTGATAACTTCTTTCCTGACCTCTTCCTTGTTAGGTACTTAATTAGGATTTGCTACCATTTTACAGAATTGCTTCCAATATATTATTTTTTTGACAATGCAATACTTTCACTTCTTGATTTTTTTTTGTCTGAAACCACCTACTGCATGTCTAAAGATTTAATCTCCTAAGATAGACTGTATTTTTTTTTTACTAGAATCAATAGTGGTCCACTTATACAAAATGAACAGATACATTCAAGAAGCTGAAGACTACATGAATATTTTCAAGATTATTTTATTTTTAGGGTCAATAGGAAATGTACTCTAAAAATAGAAAGTTTGTTCTTTTTCTGTTATGTCATTCATGGCTAAATAAAAGAGTTCCTGATACATAACTCATGTTTAATAATTTTTGAAGAAATAATTTAATGTACCTTTATGTAACTGTAACTTGTATTTTAATTTTCAAGAAGTAGAGAATGTTTCAGATAACACTTATATCTAAAAGGCTCTCTTATATCTTCCCTTTGGAATATTATAATTGCTGTTAAATCCTGTGATTGTAACCAAGGGAGTTTTTTTTCTTTATTTAATTTACTTTCCTATCTATATCCCAAACCATTTCTCTCATACTGACACTCCAAGTACATTTGATGATATAACCAGAATGCAACTAGTGTTACAGACTTTTCATGATCATGGTTTAATTCTACATATCTCTTTATATCCATATTAGAATGTTCCTCTAGCTGACTAGTTTTCTGTATTTTTTTAAAATCAAATTTAGTGGTAGTGTTTCTAGAGAAAAAAAATGTTTACCATAGAGATAAATAAATAAACCTACCTACCTATTATAAGAGAGAGAAAAAAATGTCATCACATTTCTGTGGCCCACAACATTCACAGTCTGAAAAACTCTTATTCAACTTTTCTTTGCCTGGTCAGGTTTCCTTCTCTTTTCTCCATTCTTCCAGTCCATCAAGTCACCTAAAATGTTATTAAATTATAAATTTTTTAGAATCCAACATTTTTGAGGTAAGGAACACAATCCTACAATAGAAGTTGATTTTTCTTTTGCAGTGAAAAGAAACTACATACAGGATGAAGTAAAGGCTGAGTGAGTGAGAAAAGATAAAGTTTTTCTTAAACTTCTCTTTTCTGGTGATTTTGCTATCTATCCTCCAGGAGGTGTGTGATCCTCATTTAAAATCTTTGTTACCCTGGGAATTGTGGGTATTTGGACAGTAAAAAAAGTAATTCTAACAACTAATAATAAGTTGTGAACTACAATCAGATGTCACCTTATATCTCTTATGATATCTATTACCAACAACTAAGATATGTGTTGATGAGGATGTGGATAAATTGGAATCTGTGCCTCTTTTTGGAGGGATTGTAACCTGGTATAGTTACTATAGAAAACATTATGATGTTTCCTCAGAAAACTAGCAATAGAATGGCTGTAATCTAGGAATCCCACTTTTTGTCATATTTCCAAAAAAATAAAAATAAGTATCGCAAAGAAAAATGTACATCCCTGTGTTCATTGTAGCAAAACTGAAAACAGCAAAGACATTGAAACAACCCAGATTTATGTCAAGACATAAGTGGATTAAAAGAAAATGTGGCAGGCAGGCACACACACACACACACACACACACACACACACAAAATGCAATATTATTCAACTTTAAAAAGAAGGAAACCATGCAAAATGCAACAACGTAAATAACCTAAAAGATAGTATCAAAGTGAAATGAGTTACAGAAGGGCAAATGCTACAAGATTCCACTTCCTTGAAGTATTTAACATAGTCAGATTGAAAGAAATAGAGATTCAGAAGGGGGGTTGTCAGAAGTAAAGGAAGGGGAAATGGAGAGTTTTTCTGATGCTATAAAATTTCAGTATGCAAGATAAGTAAGTCTAGAGATCTGCTGTGCAACATGGTGCCATTATTAGCACTGCTAATTTGTGCACTGAAAAAATTAAAGAGGATATATGTCCTGTTAAGTGTTTTTACCAAAACAAAGGACTAAACACAACAAACAAAGAAAAACAAAAGCTAAAAGGGAAACAAATTTTGGTAGCTGATGGATCTCTTCATTACTTCAATTTTGATAATGTCTTCATGGTATGCATGTATCCTATCACATCAAATTGAATATTTCAAGTATACACAATTTATGTTATAAATAATACTTGTATAAAGCTATCAAAAAGAAGCATATGCTGGAGATCATTACACTATCTAAATGAAGTGTCTCTTCCATAATTATGAACAGGTTGTGGCAGACTCTGCCAAATGCCATCTGGCAATATTTTCGAACTGATCTCTGCTCTTTGTGGGTAGGCTATTGGTGAATCACATCTAAAGTTATTTGATCAACTGTATCATTTGGAAAAGACCTAACGTGTTTATTTGGACTGTCTTAAAGTAAAAATTTGCCTCCTTAATTATTTGACATGTAGTTTTTCCATGTGTACTTTTATAGACTCTCATATGATCCTCTACCCAAACTTTCAATTTCACCTATTTTTCTCCTCAGAACACAATATCACTTTCATTTCTCTTTTCAGTCTTTATATTTTATTAAGTAGGAGTAAATATTTTTTTCTCCTTTTTTTATAAGAATTCTTTTAATTCTCCTAATATTTTTGAGTTTTGTCCTTTCATAAATCTTTCCAAAAGTGTGGGCTAGGGGAAGTTGTACTAAGGTAATGGTTGCTCCATAGCATCCATTCTCCATTCTCATCTTCCCAAACTCCCAATGTCCTTCTGCCAGAGTGCGCCACTCTGACATCCTCTTGGCCCTAGTCTTCCCAATAAATTAAGTGCTCTAGATCTTATTGATTGTGCTTCAGGGATTGATTGAACCTGGCTGTTGGTTTACATGAAGAAAGTTATTTAAAATAAATTTATAACATGTGGCATCTGCCATTTCC